AAAAGACATATCAAGATGCAACCTTACTCTGAGGCTCAAGGAGGGAAACCCCATGAGCATCACTTGTGAGAGTCTGTACTCAAAGGCCTCTTGAAGCTTTGCTGTTGGGCTAGTTACATAGGAAGAACATGCATATGTAACCAGCAAGTTGTTGACATGTCTACTGAAGTTCACTCTACTATTTTAAAAACTCCATGTATGGGGAATCAATTGTGCAAGAGGGAAATCTCCAGGCTGAGGAGATGGTTCATTGGATAAAGTACCTGCTGTACATTGTGGGAACTGGAGGTGAATCCTCAACAGACAAGTAAAATGTGAGTGTTGTTGTCAGTCCACCTATAATCCCAGCTCTTGGGAGGTAGAGACAGGGCATTCCCAGGTAAGCTTGCTAGCTAGCCTAGCCCAATCCATATTCTCTATGTCCAGTGAGAGGTGCTGCTTCAGTGATTAAAGGGACAAGAGAATGACATTTAATGTCAATGTCTGGCTCCACATGCACATCCACAGTGTGAATCCATACATATGTGCTTTAACACAAGTGAAAGTGCCTGTACACATGTTCACTACACACACATGCACTTAGAGAGACAGAGAAGAGTAAGCAATGCTCCTGGAAGGCCCTTCCAGAGGAAGGCAATGAGAGCTTTCTGCTTTTATCTTGCTGACTGTCACAATGATCTCATGTCCTTGCTTTTCAATAAACCATGAATTTGTAACCATTGCATTTGAGGCTTCATTATCAGCATGACCTTGTCTATCTGCTACCTCTAGTGAAAATTCATGGCATAGTTTTCCTTTAGTTTAGATGGGCTACATTACAGACTGCAGGTCTGGTCTTTAAAGAAGAAGCAGATGGTAGAGGCATCTGCAGCAATTGCTAGAGGCCACACCCAGAGGACTGCCATCTCAAGAGACCAAAACATCTCACAAATAACAGAAAACAAATGATTCCTTGATCTGTCGTGAGAGCTTGAGCTCTTCTAAACTAGTCACTGAGAAGCACAATTTTGGAGGGCAAGCATGGGCAATTTTCTCGAGACACATTATACCAGGGAAGTCAGTCCACTCTAATTCTCTGATGGATAACTGTGTGCTTTCCCAGGCAGGTGTTGATTAGAATATTGTGGACAGTATTCCTGAAGCTCTGCAAAAGTGCAGCATGAACATTCATGTGGACACAACACACTGTTTCCTGGTAGAATGAAACATTATCAAATGCAAATACTGACCTGGGGGGAAATGACAAATAGCCCATGGCTTTATTTGTAACCCAGCAAATTCTGCTAGTATAAGTTAGGTTTCAGGGACAATTTTTCAATTACAGATAGAGTTTGCCCGTAATTTATACCATCTAGAATTCTAAAACAGTATTCCAGCATGGTACCACACACCTATAATCCCAGAATTTAGGAGGAAGAGGCAGAAGAATGTGCTGCTCAAGGTTATATTCACCTACATAGTAAGTTCAGGGTCAATGTGGGCTACAGAAGACCCTGTCTCAAAACATCAATCAAGATTATGAAATAATGATCATTATATATAACTTCCAATGTGTGATAAAGTTGATGTCAGATGCTCATGGTTAGTACTATATATATATATATATATATATACACACATACATATAATGTGCATGTGCGCATGTTTGTATATGTGTGTGTGTGTATGACTTGAACAGTGGAGTTAAGAATGTTGGATTGTGGAGTTGTGGTACAATAAATGAGTTTAGACTTTTCCGGTATCATTATGCAAAACAGTGTATCTCTATCTCTTAGAAACAAGTTCTTATGCCAAGTAAATTTGGAGTACTTCTCCTGGATCATCCACAAGCCACACACACTCATTACAGAGTCACAATAGAGGAAAACTCCATCAAAACCATAGAGGAAATATGCAGAAAACAAACCTGCTTCATTTGGTTGCGTTCAGGGGTTTAGCATGCTTCTCTTTGACTATGCCTTGGTTGCTTATATTCTTCCAGAATTACTCATAGGATTCTTTTCACACAGCAAGGGCATCAGTATGTTAAGTACAGTGCAGTTTGGGTAGGGTTGAGTTAGTCTAACAACAGGATTATGTGGAACTGAATCATGGAATGCCATGCTTGGTGCCTGTCATCTTTGACAAGACAGATTCACCTGACTTAACCTGAAAAATACTCCATTTGTTCCTCATTTTCCCAGTTGAGCAATTTCAAGCTAAAGTTGGAAAAACTTCCAATGCATGAGTTGAGTGCAGTAAGTTTTAATGTCTTAAAATGATCTGGGGACACAGTGAGGTCATCACGCCCATCCAATCCCAGTTGACATGAAAACACATGGGCTTCAGAAGACAGTGCAAATTCAAACCCTTGGCTGTGAGTCTGGGGTTTATTGCAGTCTTGGCTTAAGTACACTTTGGAAAGTATATAAAGTATTAAATACTCCTGAAAAATAAACCGAAACGTTGCATTAAAGAACAGTAGAAACAATCTCCTATGAAGTTTCCTGACATGGAGTGATTGCTGAGTCAGACCCAGAGGGACACTAAGGGGAAACATCTTTAAATACTCTTCCAAGGACAGAAAAATAAAACAGGAATTTTATGTATCTAAAGAGATCCATCTACGCTTCAATCACTGAGGTGCTGTGTGCTCTGGGATTTGCGCAGATTTCCTTGCTATTCCACATATGCCCAGCTTCTACTTTCCTCTTACAGATTTACACCCATCCATCAGACATGCAGAATTCATCCCACTAGGACAGACTGCCAAGAGTGGTCTGTGACCAGAATCAATCCTACCCACACTGCATTAGATGTGGGAATGGTACTGACTGCAGAGGTCCCCATTATTGTGTCCCTAGGCAAAGAGCCCAAAGGCTCATGGATTGGTTGTTAGCTGACCTGTGGCTGTGCTTACAAACTCCGTTACACAAATGTGGGAGAACTGTAATTAGAGAGTCTTATTAATAAAACAAACCCAGAGCCAAGTATTGGGGTGAAGCTGGAAGATCAGAGATACAGAACAAGCCACAGCCAACCTCACCTGGCAGGATCCTCAGCTGGTCTTGTTTCCTCAGACTGGATGCCTCTGAGTCCTCATCCAGAATGGGTCTCAGCTGAACTGCTGCTTGAAAGCCTGAATGCTTAACCAGCCTAATGCTTAACCAGCCAAATGCTGCTAGTTTCTGGTCCTCATGCCTTATATACCTTTCTGCTATCTGCCATCACTCCCTGGGAGGGTAAGGCTCGCTTTCTGGGATTAAAGGGGTGAGTCACCATGATTGGCTGTATCCTTAAACACATGGATTTCTGCCTCTGAAATGCTAGGATTAAAGGCGTGTGCTACCACTGCCTATCCTCATGTTTAATATTGTGATTGTTCTGTCTCTGACCCCAGATAAATTTATTAGCATGCACAATATTTTGGAGAACACAATACCACAGAGAACAGATGTCACAGTGGCCAAACATACAGAGAAGTAATCTCTTCTGCTTTGTGAATGCATATGCATGTGTATGTGTTTGCTGTGTGCACATGCATGTGTGTACAGGTATTCATGCGTGTGTGTGTGTGTGTGTGTGTGTGTGTGTGTGTGTGTGTGTGTGTGTGTGTGTGTACATGAAGTCAGAGGTCAGGTTGGGTGTTTTTGTCTACTGCTCTCCACCTTATTTTTTGAGACAGTGTCTCTCATTGAACCTGGAGTTCACCAATTTAGCTAGACAGGCAACCAGAGAGTCCCAGGTTTTTTCTTGTCTCCACTACCCAAAGGCTGGCATTACAGGTATGTGTCACCAGGCCGACATTTTTTGCCTGGGTGCTTGGAAGCTGAGCCTAGGTCCCTGAACTTACATGACAAGCACTTTACCAGTTGAGTCATCTCCCCATCCCAAGGCTAATAATTATATAATGAATTAGCAAGTGGTAAAACAAGGGACACTGGCCACCTGTGAAAGCCTGAGCACTCCTGTTTTCTGAGAGTCAATGTTGCTTCCTACACTGAAAATGAACTAGAGTAACTGGACTTTCTCTCGTGCTGTATAAACAAATAGATATGATTGCTCTAATATCCAAGATCTGAATGTATCCTGGCCTCTCCAGAAAGTGACTTCCCTATTCTGTAGGAGGGGCTTTTGTACCACTGCAACTATCTTTAAAAAGGCTGGCTCAAAATAGAATTTTAACCCATTATAGAGAATCACATGTGTATTCCCAATAGTATGAAGTAGAGGCAGGAAGATTGTGAATTCTAGGCTAGACTGGGGTTGCAAGGTAAGGCTTTGTTTTAAAAAACAAATAAAGAAATGAAAGAAGTTCTCTCTTAGAAATCCTAATGATGTGGGATCTATGCATGCTAGAAAGCTCCTGGAAATCATTATTCACTCTAAAAATAAGGGGAAATATAAAAACTGTTCTAGATTCCTAAAGGTAGGTAAAACTCATTCAGTTGATCTTGTCGAGAGCAGGACAGTATTTGCTGGAAGTCAGGACCCAGAAAGCACAGCCAGGTTGTGTAGAAAATCCACTGAATTTCATGCCCAGATAAAGGTTGCAAGCTTAGCACACAGGTTTTGTTTTCAGATTCTCTCAATTAGAGCTTAGATCTTCATTTTCCCATCTGATATGATATCCCAGAATGCACTCTGCCAATGACATCTTGCCAACCCTCCCAGTCCTGTAAAACAACAAGGCATGAAACAAATAAATAGATTTTGTCAGACTTCTGATATGTTGTAAGTAAATATGAATGAAAATTGGAAAGTTAAGGTGACCAGAAGTGGTATGTGGCAGACATAAAACATTTTGTGAAAAGAGTGCTTTGAATTAGATGAAGCACAAACTCTTAGCATAATAGCTACTATATTCACAGACAGCTCAGATATATTTCTTGGAACTGTGGACCAAAATAGAATTGCAAACATATTAGTGAACAAAAATGTTTTTGTTTCCATTGCACTGAACCCAACAGAGCAAGCAAGTCCTCCATCAACAAATACTATTTCCCAAGGAAACTGTGTTGCAAGATCTCAGTTAGGGATGCTGCTGTTGGCCAATGCCCAGACCTCTTTCACCACAAAATCAGAGACAGAAAACCAAGAGCTACCAAGACGTCAACATGTAAGAAAAGTCAGAAAACTTTTATTTCTTGGATGCTGTTGTACTCTTAACACCTGTGTTATTCTGGGGGTGGTGAAGACCTTTGTTATCAGAGAGATTGTTTTGGGAATCTTGCTTTTGCGTATGCCATTTCTCATCAGCCATTTTTTCAAAGAATGTAGTATTGTAAGCAACATAGATTCCCCCACATTTTGTGCGGGGTAATGAAATTGGGGTCAACTCTCCAAACTCCACAGATTTCTGTGAAGGTTTTCTGGTGTCTATATCTCAGAATTCAAAGTGGCCCAAATGGGAGATTTTCTTTAGATTATTATCATTGTTGTTGTTATTGTTAATATTATTACTATTCTTACTGAGAAATTTGAGTGCAGGTGTGTGTGTTGGGGGGCATCTGAGCTCACGTGGAGCTCAGAGGGAAACTTTAGGAGTTGACTTTATTCCTTCTACCTTGGGTTCCAGACTCAGGCTGTTGAACTTGAGCATCAAACATGAACATGTTTACCAGCTGAGCTATCAGTCAGTCCCTGACTGAAGTTTCCCACACTCCCATAGGCAGGACTAGCAGAGGTGACTTAAAGAATAGTTTTGCCATTCCTCTCTGAAGCATGGTTCTTTGTCATGTAATTAGAAAGAATTTTATTTTGCTAGGAGAGAAGGCATTGACATAGGTCAAATCAAATTATTTTTGTCAATAATTAATCATGAAGTGTGTAAAATATGATTTAAGAAAGCCAGTCTTCTGGCAAGAATACTGCTGATTTGTGTTTCATCACTATCTTTCACACACACACACACACACACACACACACACACACACACACACACACCACACACATACCATGATACAGTCCAATTCAATGTCTTCTGGAAGAACCATCTTAAGAAAGCAGGAGAATCTTTGATGATGAAAACAACCACGTTTTTCGTTTTTCTGTCGTTTTGGTCATGCTGTGTATTCCTGCCTGTTTGAGACAGGGTCATCCAGCAGGCCTTGAGTTAGAAAGAATAGGGATACCCAAGGATATAATTTTGCAGATTCTGTCTTGTTCAGGGTTCTTCACGGAAGCAGAAACAATGAAAGGAAATAGTATACTTCATATATAAGCTAATGGCTCAAAGAATATGAAGATTAATAAGTCTGACACTATGCAGTATGTTAAGACAACACTTAGGAAAGTAGTGGTATGTCCCAAAGTGTGTCTAAATTCTTAGTCTTGAGAACCAGGGCCACCAATGTGGGAAACACCAACCTAAAGAAGAGGTTCTTTCAGTAAGAGTGGAGGGGACACAGAGAGAACTGGAGTTGTCAGTATAATGGCTCTGGGACAAAGAGAGAGTATGGGTGTAGTGGGGGGCAGGTAAAGTCAGCTTTCTCTACCTTTTCATTCTACCCAAGCTCTTAAGCAGATTAGAAAAGTCTGGTCATCCCAGTGATATGATCTTCCTCACTTAGTCTTTCTATCCAACATTATTAAGGACAAAACCCAAGTTTTGTCTGACCTCTGGGAATCCTTTAACCTACTCTGTTTTGGAAATAAAATTGTCCATCACAATTTAAAAATGCAACATTTGAGAATCTTTCTGAGCTCATAGAATAAAGATGATACATGCAGATGACCTTCTCACTCATCTTCCTTCCTTCCTCCCTCCCTCCCTCCCTCCCTCCCTTCCTTCCTTCCTTCCTTCCTTTCTTCCTTCCTTCCTTCCTTCTTTCTTCTTCCCTTCCTTTATTTTCTTACATCTGGTGATTCCCCAATTATTTATCATTTACTAAAAATAAGTAAATAAATACCAAGTGGAATGCAGAGGTATGTGTTGTAATCCCAACACTAGGGAGGTAGAAACAGGAGCACAGTGACTTCTAAGCCTCCTCAAAGAGACAGAGACACACAGCATGCTATGGGCTACAGAAAAACAGGCTTGCTGTTCTCATCAACGATCACATGGCTTTCATGACTGTTTCTTCCAGAAGACACAAAATTTGTCAGTCTTGAGTGTGTGTGTGTGTGTGTGTGTGTGTGTGTGTGTGTGAGAGAGAGAGAGAGAGAGAGAGAGAGAGAGAGAGAGAGAGAGAGAGAGAGAGAGAGAGAGAGAGAAAGAGAGAGAATTCTTTTCAGGTGATTGACTTTCTTAAATTATTTTTACACACTTTATGATTAATTATTGACAAAAGTCCCTTGACCTGTGTCAATGTTGTTTCCCTCCTAGCAAAATAAAATCAGCAAAATGCAGAACTTACTTGCTTTGCAGGAATATTTGTGAGGCTTTGCAGAAAATGGCTTTAATTATTTTGATAATATATTATATTTTGAGAATTTTCCGTGATGTATTTTGATCATAATCACTTCCTCTCCTCTAATTCCCATTCTCTCCTCTCTTACCTCTCTACTCACCCAACTTCAAGTTTGTTTTTCCCTCCCATTCAGTACAGTTCTTGTTGCCCAGCTACCCCTGGGAGAAGACGATTCAGGCTGTGATTGACCTGTCATGAATCACATCGAGGGAAATCTGACTTTCCTTCTCCCCCTAAATGTTGGAATGTTCATCCTGCTTGACTTTGTGCAGGCTTTGTGCATGCTGTCACAATCACTGGGAGTTTCTGGAAAGATGCCTGTTGTATCTAGAACAGTTTCTTTGAAGCCATCCACAAGCTCTGGCTCCTACAGCCTTTCTGTGAAGATCCTGGAGACTTGTGGGAAAGAGTGTGATAGGAGCATTCCATCTGGGGTTGAGAATGCCACAGTTTCTTATTCTCCATATGTTGACCAGTTGAGAGTATTTGTGTGAATTGCCATCTACTGCGAGTTGAAGCTTCCCTGGGGAGAACTGAGAGATGCACTGATGGACACATGCTAATGGAGAAGTTATCATCAATTTTACTCAGCTGTGAATCCTAAGAGCTGCAATTGCAATTGCCTGAACAAATATGTCCAATGGCACAACAGTGGCATGAATGTTAGGTGAGTATCCAGAAACTTTCTGATTTGCTCTAAGGTGTATTCCACCCATACCTGGCACTGTTAACAGGGCAAGAACCTGTGCCTAGGTGGGTCATAGGTCCTAGAAGAGAATGCAATACTATTATTGTGTTAAATGAACAACATAGAATCTAGCTATTTTGAGGATATTTTTAAATGTTCTGAAAAATTATATCACATTTATATAAATTGATAAAATCAAAACAAGAAATTTTCAGATTTATCCTTTGCATCTTAGTCATTTTTTTTTTTTTTTTTGGTTTTTCGAGACAGGGTTTCTCTGTGTAGCTTTGCGCCTGTCCTGGAACTCACTTGGTAGCCCAGGCTGGCCTCGAACTCACAGAGATCCACCTGGCTCTGCCTCCCGAGTGCTGGGATTAAAGGCGTGCGCCACCACCGCCCGGCGCATCTTAGTCATTTTAATTGGAACAGTCTGAAAATGGCTTAAATATCTAGCACATAAAGTTGCTTTTAAATTCAGACATGGTTTTGTGACACTGAATCATTATCACATATTAAAGCCAGCCACACTCAAAGCAGGCTAAGTTAAACAATTATTATATTACATTATTAAATAGCAAACAATAAAACTACAGGTATGAATAGTGTTTTAAGTGACAGACATTCTTTCCATAGGCTTTCATTTTTTTTCCCATAGGCTAATGACCTAGAAAAGTTATAATCTGGAATGCTTATCTCAGGTCACCTTTAAGAGGATCTTTGACAGTGTGCTAACCTTTTCCCATGGAATGGAAAGCACTATGGTTATTTAGCTTGACAGATATCATAGCAAAGTGCTGAATATGATTTAAGGAATCTAAAAACAGTATCCTGAGGTGAGAGCTTGTTAGATGACCAAAGGTGTGAGATGATGAGATTGTAAACTGCGTATGTCACATTGAGAGTCCTGACATCTTTCGTGATTATTTAATATGTAGTCAAGCAGTCTTCAAAACTTGTTCTGCTATTTTGAGAGTATGAACCCAATGCTGGGGCAATACTTTAAATGAGGGAATTTTTAAAAGTGCTTATTGTTTCGGACACTAGTTTCCTCTTACATTAATAGAATATCTAAATTATAGCATTTTAAGCTAAAACAGCACTTTTGAAAGTTCAAGTTTCCTTGATCTATAAAAGTAATTTATGTCTGCACAGTAGGCAAAACAAAGGTTACTATTCAATGGCCCAAATTATTAAATAGGAAAGACCAAGGTGGGCAGAATTATTTTTACATTTCTGATACCAGTGATTTTTCACATACTGATCCTTAGCTGAGTGACGGAGAAGACCAACAATGTGTTGTCAGCACAGGGGAGAAGCATTTCCAGAAGCTGCTCGCTGGGATGCAGCAATGAGTCTTGACCCTTTTCCTGCAGTTCTCTGTATAGAAAACCTGATGTGTAATATAGATATGGAAGAGCTTCTTCCTTATTTTCACTTAAGATAATTTTTCATCATGTAGCCTAAAATTGAGAGTTTGATAAAAGCAGAAAAAAATTTAAAAAATCATTGAAAAGCATATATAGGGCATGAGTGACTACAACCCAGTAACCTCCAATTTCATCACCTATAAAAAGATCAGACATTGTTGAAAGTCTTTAACAAATTTAAAACTTATATTTTACTTCATAGTCTTAATTCTATGTCTTTATTAGAAAGAAACCTCAAAGAATTAATAAATGGAAAATTGTTGATAGAGTAATATAGTCTTTTGTAAAATATTCTTTTAGTTTTTTAAATTAAAGTATAATTCCATTGTTTTCCCCTTCCTTCCCAGTCACTCCCTTACTATCTCTTTCAAATTTTGTGACCTCTATTCTCTATTTCTTTAATTGCATATGTAAGTATATATGCAAATATGCATGTATATTTCTAAATATTTAAGTGCAACCCACTCGGTCCAAATAAAGTTACTTGTATGTGTATTATTTCAAGGCTGAGCATTTAGTATTAGATAACCAATTTGGGGATTTTCCCTGGGGAATACTATTTTTCCACTCTCCGCATTCCTTAGTTGCCTGTCATTGTTTGTCTAGGGCTGAGGCCCAATGAGATTTCCTCTTTTCAAGTTAGCATGTCTATTGGTATGGTCCTTGTTACAGTCTTGTTTAGGCAGCCACACTGATGAAACTTCATGGGAGAGCAATACAGTTTTAGAGGTGTGTTTGGGCGTTCATTGTATGAGTAAAGTTTCTTAGGAAAATATTGAGTAATGTAACTTTGATTAATAGCATTTCACAGTTCTGTGCTCAAATATAAACTGCAGCTGCATGTATTCACATTAAGTAGGATTGACAGTGATATTGGCGATATAATTGAATTCCCTAAGCTCCATTTTATAGATGAAGCTAAGAAAAGGAAAGGACAGCAGCCCTTCATTTGGGGGAGTTTTGGTATAGATACCCATGTTATACAGAATTGTTCACATGTTTTTGGATGGGCGCAGTTGGTGACAATCACGGCTTTGCTCTCTTTGACAGCAGTAAGTGTAACAGATTGGGCAGGCAGTACCACTTGTATGTTAGCCATGAAGTTCCTACAGCATGCATTAGGTCATGATTTATTCAGAATAACAGAATCCATAAGAAATGGTTCTGGGCCAAGAACCACCATATCCACATCCTGCTGAGCATTAAAGACTCTGAAGAGAAGGAAGACACAGATGTTCAAAAATAACACAGCCCTATAGGGGGATATGCAGTTATGACAAGTTATTCCACACCTTATAAAGAACCAAAGAAAATGATGATATTGAAAATTCCACCTCACAGTAAGACTAAATGCTTGAGATAGTGATGCTAAATATTCAATTTAAGTCATTACAGGTTGTACACATACATAGAGTTAATATCTGTATGCCATAAATATTGACAGTTAATATATGTCAATTGCAATTTTTGAGAAGAAAATGAGAAATGGATTTGACTTAAGAGCAGCTTACAATCAAATTGGTAAGATATGTTTTGTGACAAAAAACTTTAAAGATCCTGACAGATACCACCTTGATTATGTAAAAACACAAATAGTAACTTATCAAGGAAATTCCAATGAAAAGAATATCTCTGTTAATTATAAAAGTATTGAATAACAAAAATGTTTTTATTCTTTAATAGTAGTTCTTAAATTTTCCAGCAAGCTTGGCAACATAGTAATGATGTTTTTGTCTTCCAAAAATCTGGGGCTATTTCTCTTTTAAATATTAGTAACTTACTAAGTCAATAAAATATACACTCATGTTGTCTATCACCATGTTCTCAAATTTGATAATCTGTGCTTGACAAAAACATTCTTGTATCCATCTCTACAACAGGATAGCAAGAATCTGTAGGAGTTCACAGTGACTTTCAAAAATGTATGCTTTTAACATCATAATTCAGACAGCATTAAAAATTTCATCTCTGGGTCTGGGAGAGGTTACTCAGTGGTTAAGACTACTCCATACTCTTGCAGAGAACCTGAGTTCGATTCCTACCACCTGGATTAGGCAATATACAACTGCCTAGAAAAAACAGTTATTTCTAATTTGAGCTCCAGGGGATCTGACACCCTCTTCTGGTCATGATAGACATCTTAATACACACACACACACACACACACGTAATATGGATGTAGCATAATTACAAATGAGAATAAATCTTAAAAAATAAATTTCTTTTCTTCAAATGCAACAAAAAAATGATAATTTAACTTTATTTTTCTGTATTAATGACCTCAACATGCCAAAGCAAAACTTCAATTAAATATATTACCTATTATGTATTTTTACAGTGGAGAAGAAAAAATAAAATGTCAAATATTAACTACAGTGAAATAAAGTTAAGGTCAGTTTCAATTGTTTCATTTATTATGGTGTTAATATTATAAAAATGTCTTAAAATAAGGGTGACACAGATTTTTGTAGTAGCAGTATGTAATGTGATTCTCATTTCATCTACAATATATTCACCATTGGTTAACAGAGTAGACCTTGAGACTAAATATATTAAACATAGTACAATGTTCACCAAATAAGGCAAAGTCATGAAAGCATAATAGAAAATTTTATGTAATTATAGATGATTCATACATCTTACTGAAACCCGAATAAACATGTCAGGATGTATACAATAAAAAATACTTTAAAATTATAAGGCCCAGGCTCTAAGAATAATTCCTTCCGTATTCAGAGAGCATAAAAATATCTTCATGAATCTGTTGAAGGTTTTCATTTCCTCCTAATCCATGGCAAGGAAGAACAGAGGGGCATGTTACTTAGGTAAAGGCATTAACTGTATTTAACGCAACACTTATATGAACATATTTATGACTTTGAACTGTTGAGATGTTATTGTTTTAAGAGCTCACTCCCTGTTCTTGCTAGAATCTCATGCCTATTAGTTTATTCATATTAAGGAATATCTTATGCAAATTATTCAGCCTTATAAGATTTGAAAGTGTCTTCATTTTACACTCAGCCTTGCAAAATTGCCTGAGTATCTTGTTCTTGACTTAGAATGATTCCTTGTTATACAACTATTTCATTGTCATATTGAATTTTTTTCTAGTGAAGTATATGCTAAAATGAATTTATTTTTATCTAAAGTTTTTTTTACTGTTTATTAACATTTAATATTGCTTTCTTCTGTGTTTTATACTATTGAAAGTTCAGCTCTCTAGAAGAAGGTTAGATTTCATCCAAACTTTTAATGTTCAAAATGCTATTTTCATCTGAGTATTCAAATCTTTCTTCAGTTTTGGAAAACTCTACCCATCATCACTCTGAATGTCTTCAAATGCCAATGCCAAAATGCTTGGCATACTCCTTCCTACAAATGTCCTAATTGGCAGCACAAGACTGAGCTCATAGACTCTGGCTTCCATAAATCAGCTTTAGTTCCACTAGCTTTTGCTTATGGGTCTCAGGGTGCTTCAGAGTCACTGATTTGACCCATTCAGAACATCTTCAGAATTTATAGATCATCACTGTCCTTTACAGACTCTATCCCAAATAAGAATTACAAATCTAACTTTCTATCAATATGGTATTTTTTTTTCTGCTTAAATCAAATGTCACACACTGTTTTCTGATATAAATAGGTTTCTCCATTGCTCCCCAAATAAGAAACAATTATTTCTAATTGTCTATGTGTGTGTATGTACAGGTAACTATAGAGGTTGGAAGAGGACATCAGATCCCCTGTAGCTCCAATTGCTGGCAGTTGTCAGCTAACCATCATGGATGCTGGGAACAAATCAGCAATTTGAACCATGGAGTTATGTCTTCAACCTATGACCACACATTTTGAAAGGTATATAACCACTTGTAGACATATTTAATTCATGTATGAGTGCTTTATCTGTTATTTGCTACTGAAACTTTACCTTGCCCATGAAGAAGAATTCTGTTGTGGCCCATGTAATAAAATGAAGATAGTGTGTTGTGTAGTTGGACTTTCTTGCTGAACTTTCTTTGGACTACTAGCACCCAAATAATGACATGGAAACGTTATTCATTATGAAATCTTGGCCTTAGCTTAGGGTCATTCCCAACTAGCTCTTATAACTTAAATTAATCCATTTATATTAATCTGCTTCCTGTCACATGGCTGTTACCTGTCCTCCATAATGCATGTCTGACTTCCTATGTGTCTTGCTGGTGAATCCTGTTCACCTAGATTCATCCCCTGAGTTTCTCTCTCTTTGCCTGGAAGTTCTGCTTAATCTCTCCTGTCTAGCTATTGGCTGTTCAGCTTTTTATTAAGCCAATCACAACACTCTTTACACAGTGTACAAATATCCTGCAACAATGTTGTGTATGTCTGAAGTTTACAAACCAGAGCTGGGTTTCTGGATTGAGAGCCCTGGACTTACTACTTATGAGATGCTTTGCCTTGTGAGAGTTAAGCAAACACAATGTGCTTGACTTTACAAGTCTAAAAGGAAATTAAGAAAAGTACATTTCTCTTGAGTGGTAATGAGGGTTATCAAGAAGTGTCATTAGCATGTAGGAATACATTGTTTCTGGGTTTCTCAGGACTGAATCTTCCCAGAGGGAACTTAATGGGTTCCAATTCCTAGTCTTACCATCTTCCCTTATCCACTTTATTTATGGCACAACATATGGGCTGGCATACGTTCCTTCTGAGGTTCAAGTTGCTACAGAAAGCCAGCATCTTAGTTGCCCTTCTCAAGGATCTCTCTGTCCCTCTTGAGGGCTGGAAGACTCGAAGCTCCCAATACTGGTCAGCTGACCTAGAAGTCTAAAAGTTGCATGACTCGTCCAGTTGATCCACTCACTCATTTGTGCTTAGCACAGGGCTAACATTTATCAGCCACCAAGCTGGTGATTGGAGTGCCAGTGCCTTGGTTTTACTTCTTCAAAATAAAATCTTAGGAGTCCATACTGAGGCACAGCCACCTCAGTGCATCTGCAACATTAGATCCTACACACATGTCGATTAGGGCCAATGATCACTTTTAATGTTCTATACTAAATGAAAAGGATGGGATTATAAGAAAATAGAATTAATTTAAAATTAATTCATGAGTAAAGAATGCATTACATTATCAGCAAATCAAGCCTTGTAATAAAAAACAAAAAAATCCATGAGGCATTGGGCAGTAACTGATAAGAACTCAGGAACAGTGGCATGGCAGTTGTATTGATTTATAAAACCTTTCAATATGTTTAGGTGATTGATGCCCTTCACACCATCTAAACCAAATCTCTCCAGTTTGGGTATTTCTCTCTGGTGTGGAAAAATAGTGGTATATTTGATGAGGTGGCCACTTGGGCTGAGCAGGCTGAGAAGCTAAAATGTTGACATTATATACTATTTCATGACATATTGTTAAGGTAAGCATGCAACTCGGTTCATCTGTGTTGCTCATGTCAATGTAAAATAAAAGGAGCCAAGAGGATTCTAACTTTTATATTCAAGGCTCATGGTACCCAAACCCTGATGGCCAAGACTGACAAAATGTTCAGATTATTTTGATCATGTCATTTGTCTTTTCTTTTTGTAGATAACAGAAACAAATTGCTAAGCATTTGAAAATTTTAATTTTGTGTGTGTGTGTGTGTGTGTGTGTGTGTGTGTGTGTATGTGTGTGTGTGTGTGTGTGTGTATGTGTGTGTGTGTGTGTGTGTGTGTGTGTGTGTGTGTGTGTGTGTGTGTGAAAGGGGGAGAGAGAGAGACAGAGACAGAGAGACTCAAATAGAACCCAGGGTCATGTATGCCCAACAATCTCTGAGCTTCATTTGAAATTTATGTGACCCATTCAATAATATTATAAACCACCCTGCACATGAAAAGCATTGCACATTCCATGTTGACATCTGCAGAGATGATGAAGGAGCTGAAGAGCCAATAAGAGTTAGAACAAGTCCCAAAACTGACAGGAAGATGTGCTACTCTTGGGCCTGGAGACAGTGGGCAAGGTACTTCGGTCTTCTACAGTTGCCTGATTTTAGCTAAAGAATCTAGAACTGAGCTGGAGACAAATCTGAAAATATTTTTCCCTGAAACAAAGACCAAAGCAGTAGAAAGAGAGGGAACGCATGAGGGATGAAACAGAAACATGGCCACTCAGCAGTCTCTGCATCACTGTGATTATGAGACAGAATCTGAGCCCTATAAAGTTGGTTCCAGTTGCATTTTTGTTTGCTCTTCCCAAGATGATGCTGTTCCTTGTATCTGCGGGTGGGTGGGCCCAACCCTCTCCACCTGTAATGCCTCTTTCCTCTCCATGCACCAGAGAGGCATGCACTCATCACTTAAGTTTCGTGACAACTGAGGCATTTCCTGCAACTATCCTACTCCTGATAGAATTCGGTGCCACTCCCATCCCCTCTCGATGAATGTTCTAGTAAATGCATCCACCCTCTCCTGGTAAACAGGGATCTACAGACAGCAAAGGGATTTTTGTTTGTTTGTGGAAATATTTGCATTTGACATTATAGGGTTTGGCTTGAAATTCTGTATATGAGAAGTTAGTGAACAAGAAAAAATTTAGATGGATGGTGGATGTGGTCTCAGTTGGTTTTCACAAATACCAAAGTATATTCTGACAATCTAGATTCATTCCATCATAGCAACTCCATCCTCTCTGATATTAGGATAATTTTTCTATTATTAATTAGTTGCAAATGGTAAGACCTATTCCTTCCTTGCTAGATTATCAGTCTCCAGTTTGACTGAAAAAGACTATTTTAAAACTAAGGAATGTTGAGCAACATACAGTGTGATTGAAACTTTTAGTTTAACTAACCTCTTTGCTTATTTTGAACCAATGTATTTTTTCCATTTAGTATTTAGTACTAAATACTAAAATAATTGCTACCCTGACTAACACAGTTAACTATGAAACTATCTATCACTTTTTTCTTTTCTCTCTAAACTATCTCTAAAGCTGATTAAAAGTTGATAAAACATACAAATACATATATATCCAGTTTCTCTGATATATTGTTGCTCCTATAAGCTGCATTGCTTTGTACTGGGTTAAAAATGCATCAATTAAGCTACTTTTTGCTAAATTACATTGGTAAGGCTGCATTGTTCATGTGGTATTTTATTTTGTATTATTTTCCTTTCTATTGTTCCAAATTAATATTTTTGAGCTCATGAATGAATTCAACAATAACTGAAGATACCTTTTTTTAAGACTACAATGATCATTTAGGCCTGGTGTTACATGCCTTTAATCCCAACATTAGGGAAACAGAGCCAGGTGGATCTCTGTGAGGTAAAGACCAGTCCGGTCTATATAGTGAGTTCTAGGCTAGCCAAAGATTGAAAGTGAGACCCTGCCTTAAAAAGAAAGGAAGGAAAGGAAAGGAAAGAGAGAAAGAAAGAAGGAAAGAAAGAAAGAAAGAAAGAAAGAAAGAAAGAAAGAAAGAAAGAAAGAAAGAAAGAAAGGAAAAAAGGAAGGAAGGAAGGAAGGAAATGAGGGAGGGACAGAGGGAAGAAAGAAAAGAAAAGAAAAAAGGCTAAAATGAACAATAATTACATGCATAAGAAGATTCTAAGGGAACCATTAAGGTGGAGATAGTTTGATGTCTGTCTGTTTGAAAGATAAGGATAAGAAGCAAAGCAAGATTAGTATCTGTGGGCAGGAAAATCCTTATAGACAGAGACCAACCATGATTTTATTCTGTCAAAACTTGTTTGAATTCATCCTTTCCGTCTTTGAGTTCAGTGAGTAATTGAATGATTCATGATAGATCACGGCAGTTAATTTTATGTGTCAGCTTACTAGGCCATAGGCCACCTGCATGCTTGATGCAGCATTAGTTTGGGTGTGTCAGTGAGCTTGTTTTTAGATGAAATTAACATTCCACCCACAAACAGTAAAACAGACTGCTTCTCCAGTTCTTATCAGCTCATCACTAGGGCTGGCCCTCTTTTGAGTCAAAGCATTGGCCTCTTCTGACCCCCAGACTTGAAATGAAGCCTCAGTCCTTTTGAAAAGTGGAGTCTGCCAGCTTTCAAGCCACTGGCCTCCTTGATTAGCTGGCTAACTGCAGATTTGGGGACTTCTCAGCTTCCTAATCAGTTTATATAATGCGGCTATCAGTCTGCCTATCCTGTATTCTGTTGCTTCTATTTCTTTCAGGGGAACCCTAACTAATACAGATTTTGCTACCAGCAGTTGTCCTAGATGAAGGACGAGCTTGCAGGTTGTTTTCCAAGATTACTGTGAAATTTCCTGAATTGGTTTTTAAACTGGATTTACCCAGTTATAATAATGAGCCTTTTCCTAGGCATGAAACACTTAGAGTCTAGAGCATAATCTTACAAATATGTATACTGAATACTTCTCTCTTCCCCATTGCCTGGGATAAAACATGTAAGACAGGGGTTCTCGCACTGAGATACACCCACAAACATTATTAGATACTCTGAATTAACTACTCAAGAGAAAGAAACATTCAGGAAACTGATGAAATGTGTTGTTTTAAAAACATGTTTGGCAAATTTAATACTGTGAGATTAGTTGCCAAACTCCATTTTCTCTAGATAAAGTGGAGAAAGAATGTAAACTCATGGATTTCCACTCTCCACTCAAATACCATAGATACGTTCTGAAAGCTTCCAGGTATCCCTTGCTTGTCTCTGCAGGTTAAGACTGCTGACATTCATCCACCGTACTAACTAGCCAATGTCAGTGATTGGACAAAGTACAAGTTAAGTTGAACTCAGCCTTAAAGGGTGTCTACTGTTAGCATAAGGACATTATTTAGAAAGGAATGGAATCCCGAAGGCTGGAGTGAGAGAGTCCAAATCTGATCCATCATTACATCAAA